ACAAAAGGCTCGAAGGTAGGGCAGGAGGACGGGGGGAGCTTTGTCGAGTATAGTACTTAGGTGGCAATCTACAGCTTCTGCAGTACCCCCAAAGAAGGTTTGGCCTATAGAACTACATTCAAGGGCTTCAGCCGTTGCTAAGACGAAGTGCTGTTGTATATTCGGGAGGGGGGGAATCGGGCGTACTCCTCCCCTACCCGGACCTCTTTTCAGAGGCGACGGTAAGGCCAGAGGCCTCCTTAGAGGGGTTTCCATGGAGGGTAATCGGCTTGTTTAGTACAAGCAAGTGAGAGCAAGTGATTTAGAACAAAAAATTTGATCTCGAAAAAAGGGTTGTGTGAAAACAACTATATAATATATTATAATATATCTAGACTAATAAAAACGTAAGAAACCTAGCCGTCATTCTATACATCCTCTATAGAAAGCTGTTATCTAAAACTCTAGATCAACTAAAATAATTATATTAGTATACCTATATTAATAAAAAATACGCGGTAAGATATATTTAAACTCTCTATATTTAAAATTTAATTATAGGACGCCTTTAGAATAATTTAATTCTAAGAGAGATATATAGAATTATAGTAACGAACATGTCGCTTACTGTATTACTAAGCAAGGGGTAACTTCAAAATAAGCGATCTAGACTCGCCAAACATTAGATTACACTATATTCGTAGCTACAATATTCCTACAGACTATACTCCCCCTTATTTAACACCATTATACGTCAAAACCTATCCAGATCCCGCCTCCCAGGTATAATTAACGCCAGATTGGAGAGAGGTTGGCCACCCCGGCAGCCACGAAACTGGCAGCACCACCTCTCTCCGCTCTACACCAAAGATCTGGTCAATCTCCACGAGCAATTGCTCGTTCCTCCTCTTCCATTGCTGGATCACCCTCTCGCTTACGGGTTGGATGACATTTGATACCGTAACATTGAGACTGAATTGCTTCAGTGTACTTGCGTACAATCCGAGTTGGCGTACACCACGGCCAATGGAAAGTACAGTAGTATCATTGTGAGAAGCATTGAGCCGGATGGTTTCGACACTGTTTACAGGATAACCTTGGAGACCCGAAACTTCTACGAAAAAGCTGGTAACAGTGCTATTGGTCCTGTAAGTAAATGTGCTATTCTAAAACAGCCGCCCGCCTCTCCCCCCTCCCACCTATTTGGAAGAAGACACAATAGCGAAAGGCTTACTTTATGTCAAACCCAAGGTGGCGGATACTTTCAACAGCAGTGTGTCCCTTCTCTGTAATGTCTTGGGGGCATCCAAGAGGTACGCTTTGCAGGTACATCACATTTTCCTTGTAGTAGACATAAAGAGCCTCTTTGTAGAGGTCTTCTTCTCCTCGAAGAGCAATTAGGAGGGCTGGGCTGGCGTGGTGCGTAATCTGGTGGTATAGCTCAGATGGTGGATTCTCAACAAGACAAAGTTCAAAGATTTCTTGTCTTAACACTTTATGGGGTTTTCGCAGTGAGGCCATCTGTTATTTGTAAGCTTTGCTAAGTACGATAGTGGATGGGTCTGGATTACAGTACCTTGAGCTTGAGAGTGCTATTAAGAAGATAGATGCACCGTCTATCCTGCGACAGAGAAACCGATTGCGCCTAGGAAATTTGCAGGAAAGTCGCAGGAAACTGTGTGAAGCCAACGTCGTTCCAAGAGAAGAGCCTCCGACCCTAAGAGGATTTGAATATCTAGATAGAGATCAAAGTTCAGTTTACCAGAGTTGGGCGCGTCGGAAGACTTGCGTTTCTCAGTATGACAAGACGTGCTTTTTTCATAACATGAGATAGAGTCAGTGGGTGGTGGCTGTCGGAGTAGGCACAAAAGAATGGGGCCAACGTAGAAGTGAATATGAAAATGCATCCTTTTCTGTGGCCAATGAGATATATCCAAAGTGAAAATTGATAAGGGTCCGACAAGAGCTCGTTGCTGGGGAGCCCAGAGGTCGTGAAGCGAGAAGTCAACCACGTCCTAATTGCGTAATCATAAAAACATCAATAGACCATGGACAATACTTCAACAAACAATACCAACACCACAATCGCAACTTGATTTCACTTTCACAAGTTGCATCTCGCATGATGGCCTCAAAGGAAAATTCCAACCTGCATAGAGAGGTTTCGCCAGTTAGACCACTACAACTTCGCAAACAGCCAAGTCAACGAGATGACCCATGTGAGCGGCATATAGCATACCAGGCTCGAACAGGCGCACGTTTTTCTCAACCACACCAAAAAGACCGCGAGGATCTCGAAAACATGGCTGAATATACTCCTGCTCTTGCAAATAACGCGTATTCTGCACTCGGCGATTGTGTACAGACATACTTCAGTGGTATTGTCGCCAAAGATTCTCCCAAGCCCGAAGGCAGCGCATCCACTTATTCAGTTTCGAGCGACAAGGCAAGAGACCGCTCCGATTCCTCTTCAGCCATCATGGGAGACTTTGTACCTGTTGAGTCCCAAGCTTGGACTTTATCTTTGAGACCAAAGAAGGTCATCGCACCACCTGAACCGTAAGTTGGCGACGCGTTTTCGACTTTCAAACAAACATTCCTGTCAAGATACTGACCATGAAACCGATCCAGATCCAACCAAGTCGCAGTCCATATCAACCCATACGAGTTCGATCCTGCTTCTCCTCTTATTCGTGAATCTCGTCAAACTCGAATTACCGACTTCATCCAGAGACCTGGAAGCTCACCAGCCTCGTACTCCACTCCACGAATGGGCCATTTCAAGAACTCTCACTCCCAGGAAGAGAAGAAGACAACGAGACCTCGACCAAGCCCACTCAACGCAGAAGATATCACAGGTTATGAACTTCAACGATGTCCTTCCACCCCCGAACTATCTTCCATGGACTGGGCGGTAGAACAGCCATCACCAGCACTGCAGCGTAAGGCAGCAGAGTATAGAGCCTTGGTAACACCAATTGAAAGTTCTCCCGTCCGCAGTACCTACGGAGAGTATGGAACTGTCTGGCCACCTGCACTTGAACAACTTCACAGAGGTGAACCTGTAGCTGGGCCATCAGCAGCTCGCAGCAGTAACCGCAAAGTTGAAGGCAAACGTAGGACTGCGTCACCACAGCGCAATGATCGTTCACATGGAGAGTGCAAATCCACGTCGCCAGTCCGCCGCAATACAAATGAAGACACCGTTCATCGTGATCGCCAACAATCCAATGGACGCGCATCGCCACGACACTTTCATCAAAACCATTACAATAGCCAGAGCACGCCTACAAGAGGTCGTAGAGATATACTTTATGAATCTCAAGCAACCACCTTACAAGGCTATACGCGCGCGTACTTACCAACTGGCACAAAAGCTCACTCTCAGGTCCAACAAGTATCGCCCATATCATCTCCGTATGACCGTCACCAAACCAGCTCACCCAACAAATCTCCTGAGACTGTATATGAGAGAGACGAGGCAAATGGTAGATATGCCAGAAAAGAGACCGATTCCCTTATCAGAAGCCCAAGTCCTGATCGTAGTCCAAAAAAGAGATCTCGCTCCCCAATGAAGAAGTTGTTTGGCGAGAAGGGCTTTTTTGGAGTCACACCGGAAGAAGCGACCAACGTCAAGCAAAGTCCCAAGAAACTCTCGAGTAATCGAAGCGTCAGCAGGTCCTCAGATAGTCGAAAGAAACCTGGCATGATGGACAAACTCAAGAGCAAGCTTGGAGAAATCGTGAGTTGTGCTGATTCCTTCCAAGAGATACCATGCTGATTTGTTTAGGCTGAGAAAGCAGACATGACTCCCAAGAGGGTTCCCCGAAATATCCACGACAAGAACTATCATCCTTCCATTTCTCTTCCACCCGCTGAGCAAGCAAGAATCCTGATGGAGCTTGAACTCATGATTGTCCATACGGCCAACAAGTTCCTCATGATCCAATTTGGTCAAGGTCGATTGACGGTGGATTCCATCAAGAAAACAGTCGATGGATGGGAGGCTAAAGGTCGGCCAAAAGTCATCGAGTTCATGTACGACCAAGCCACACAACGAAGCCTCGTCACTGCCAATCTACAAGAAATCCGATTTTATGGCGAACGTGCTTGTAACCAACTCAGCATCAGCGCCATGCTATACGCATGGAAGGGTGTCGCGACTAAGATGGCCATTCGTACATTTTGCGATGCAGATACTGTACTGAAGAAGCTCATTTTTGATATTGAGCAGATTCTTGAGCTTCTTGGAGCGGTGGATTCTATCATGATTCGAATTCAACAGCTGAGAGAGAAGATCAACCTTTTGATTCGTGTTGCGAGAGAGTCGACCAATAGTGGCGCGACTAGCCAAGGTTTTACAAGCAGTGAAGGCCGTAGTCACCCCTCTTATGACAGTCGTCGATCTGGAGAGAAGTCTTTGGATGATCCTTATGGAGGTTTGAAGTTGGTTCCGGATCACTACAGAGAGGATTAAGTGTTGGTTGAGGGTATTCGGACGGAGGGACTTGGAGTAATCTGGATTCATAATGCTTGTTGTTGCTATTACTTTTGTGGTTTGTTTTACACTGGTTCCTGTTCTGAGCGAAAGGTGTCACCAGACAATAATTCCGGGTTGCCTTCAAGGAAAAGGGCAACAGGTGCTCCCAAGCATCTCAACCCAAGGGTTCTTTTCAGGGTTTCTACATACCATGATTAGGTATACATAAATAGGTGGCCACTAATACTGGAAAGAATACATAGAATTTACTTGTACTCTCTGATACGTGAATTCATTGCTTTCTGTGAATAGCCACGATAGCGTAAGATAACTAGAACCAAGCGAGGTTTGCATTATCCGCAACCAAACGACAGGTCGAACATTGACGAACATGGATTTCAAAATCTTGCTTTATTTTGCTTTAAATTCGTCTCTCTTGGATGTTGGGATAATGGATTGAGGTTGAAAGTTGTAGGGATGACCAGATACGTGGCCCGGGGCAGGATGCGGCTCGTGCTGTAAATGATGGCATTCTGGGATTTGTCCATCAACATCTCTTTGGAAGCTCCAGGACCACGCTACGTAATCTTCACGCTCTCCATGTCATGTGAAGGGCTGTACCTTCCTCTGTGCTACAGTACATCACCTGCACCAACCTGGGAAGCTGCTGTGTACCGTGTACGAGCAACTCCTGCCTGTACTCGGTACTCGTACAACGAAGCATCTACATCATGCGAAGAAGATACGATAGCGAGCCGTGAGCGCATCGCTGCTGCCTCGATTCAACACCAACGCCAACGCCAGCTGCTATCATCAAGCCTCGCACTTGCCGTGGCAAAGCTGTAGGGTGTACGGTGTAGGGCAGGCAGGCATCAACGCTCTTTCTCCCCAAGTAAATCCCCTTGCTTTCCTTCTGCCATTGCCTCTCCTTCTGCGGTTTCTGCTCTTCCATCTGCACGTTTGTTTCTCTTACTCTTACCAACACCCTTCTTTTGTTCCAAACAAACCACCAATAGTTACTATATACCTCCTCTTTGCATATCTGCACACATCCATTCCACTTCCGTTCCATTGGGCTGCTTTTGCTGAGCATAGCTTATATTCACTCCCCTCCGGAGCAATCACTCTCTCAGGAGAGCAGTCGAGGTGGCAGAGTTGCCCCGCCATATTCCACCCCCATCCTACCTAGTGAGTTCACAAATACATATTCCAAAATGGTTCTAACAATACCCGCAGAATCAGAATGTCTCACTCCTCCCACACATATGGCCCAACCTGCCATCTCGCTCGGAGTCCATCCTTCCAAGCTCCCGAATCCGACGATGATGTACCCCCGGTAAAAGCACAATATTTCTATTCTTCGCCTCTACCCATCGACGATCCTCTTTCAGTTGTCCCGGTTCCTTCAGGCTCTGACTCGAAAGCCGTCAAGTTCCCCCTTCGACCATTCTTACCTATCGATAATAATGCCTTGGAGGAAGCATGGATGAGTTTTGGGCCGAAAAAGAGTAAGAAGGGCAAGAAGTCGCAAAAGAAGGGCAAGCCTGACCTTAGTAAAGCTTCCACCCCAGACAGCATTGAGAGCCATGCGGGCAAGTCGAAAAAGGATAAGCCTGATCATACTAAAGATCACACCAAGCACTCTGATGATGAAGGAAAACACAAGAAAAAGCCAGAGCATCACAAACCTTCCTCCAAACACTCCGAGGATGAGCATACAGGAAAGCACAAGAAGAAACCAGAACACCCCAGGCCATCTTCCAAGCACTCTGAGGATGAAAATACAGGAAAGTACAAGAAAAAGCCAGAATATCCCAAGCATTCCTCCAAGCACCCCGAGCATGAACATACAGGAAAGTCCAAAGCTACTCCTGTGGGCGGAAATGACTCAGGCCATCAAAATCATGGCAGCGGTTCCGAAGACAAACATAGCAAGAGACATGCTCGAGCTGAAGCTACAGCTGCTGCGAAGTCAGCTAAGGCTGCTACAGTTTCAGCCATAGGAGGGGCAAAGCAAAAAGCCTCGAATGGCTTCAAGGTAAACAAGTCTTTGGCTGCAGAGAGTTTGCAAAGGAAAGCTGGAAGCGTCGATGGTAGTATTGATTCTGACGGAGAGAGTCACCATTCGGAATCAGAATGTGAAGACTTGGACCACGTCCCTGTGGAGCAATGTTGCGATTTCACCCAGGAACCCCAAGACGAGTCCCCAAAAACAGAATGCTGCGATTTTACTAAAGATTCGCAAGCAGACAACTCATACCCAGGCTGTGACTGCTCAGATGGCGATGGGAAAAGAAAGTCCAGAAAGAACAAGTCTTCGGATCGGGTTACTTTTCAACAGGGGCAAACTGATGGTACTTCCGAGGAACCACCTAGCAACGAAATCCCTAACCCAGAGCAGACTCACCATCTGGTAGATGCGCCCTTGCCACTACTCCCTTCTCCGAGCGGAAAGGGTAAGAAAAAAGAGGTATCAGATTCTTTGGGTCTACCAAATGATGCAGGTATCACTGGCCAACCTTTTGTCAAATTTCAAGCCAAATACGATGGTCAATCGTATTCTCCACAAAGATCCAGTCATGATATGAGCGAACACTGCGATGAGCTGAACGATTCTCAGAAAGCCGAGGAGGCCGAATTTCTGCAGACCGAATCACTTGAAGTGCTCGGATGCAAAGCGAAAAAGATCGCCAAAGAGCAAGCAGACATCCCGGTAGGTATATCCAGACTTCATTCGGTCAAGATGCCTGCCTTACAGATGCTACCAATTTATTGGTCTCCTCTAAACGACATTGCCTCCGTGATTCGTGGAACTTGGTTCTACAAGGACATCATGTATCCAGTTGAGCCCCATGTTGCAAATCAGCTTGAGAAAGGCTTTCGTGAGCTTAGGCCATGGTCACAAACCTGGAAGGATGAACTCAACTGTGCATTGGACGTTGGAGCTGCAGGTGAAGAGAAGATTGTCTACGATCTGTGGCCAAAGGACGACGTCTCAAAGAATGCTTCACGTCCAAAGACTGAAAGCCATCATTTATCAACAAACCCATACTGTGCAGCCAAATGTTTCAACGGGGAGGTAGCTGCCGAAGGAACGCTTGATCTGGATGACAAGTCGAATGAATCGAAGGTCGTTGCAAAAAAGTACTCGTCCGCTCAGGTCATCTACAAAGATGCTCACACTGCATTTATACTCAAACCTACACTCCAACCATCGGCATATTATGGTCGGAAACCGCTTCAGAAGATCAAGAGAGGTATGAATGTCGGTATTTGTTGTGTTCGTGGATTCGACTGGAAGTCGTGGGAAAAACTGCACCCATCCAAAAAGTCGCAAAGCACCAAGAAAGCCGTTGATCTTGCAACGATAGCCGGTGATGTAGACGCCTCCAAGAGAACTGCCTGTCCACCATGCGAGGCTCAGAAGCACCGGCCCAAAGTAAAGGATCTTGTTTTAGTGGTCCATGGAATTGGACAGAAGCTATCTGAGCGAGTTGAAAGTTTTCATTTCACTCATGCCGTCAATTCGTTCCGCCGTTCCGTCAACATGGAGCTCGCAAACGAAGGCGTCCAGAAAGTTCTTCGTCCAGATCTTTGTGGTATCATGGTGCTTCCAGTCAACTGGCGCTCAAATCTATCATTTGAGGATGGAGGACCCATGAAAGACGACGATTACAAGCCCTCCGTTCAGTCGGATTTCACCATGAAGGACATCACACCAGACACAATTCCGGCAGTTCGCAACATGATCTCCGATGTGATGCTTGATATCCCATTTTACATGTCTCACCATAAGCCCAAGATGATTCAAGCTGTTATCACTGAAGCAAACCGGGTCTATCGGCTATGGTGTAAGAATAATCCCGAGTTTCATGATGGCGGCCGAGTGCATATGATTGCGCACTCTCTTGGAAGCGCGATGGCAGTGGATATACTGAGCAAACAGCCGACATATGTTCCACATATTGATCCCACGAGCAAGAAAATCAATACAAAGCACTTTGATTTCAATTGTACAAACTTGTTTCTTGCGGGAAGTCCTGCTGCCTTCTTCCTGCTCTTAGAGAAGGGAAAGCTCCTCCCTCGTAGAGGACGAGGCAAGCCTGGTGTTGAGTACAATGATGATCACGACAAAAGTCTCACTGGCGAACCCGGTAAATATGGATGTATGGCCGTGGACAATGTTTACAACATAATGAACTACAACGATCCCATTGCTTATCGTCTCAACGCAACCATTGATGCCCAGTATGCCGTCAGCTTGAAGAATGCGCAAGTTCCAAGCGCTACCACTGGATTTTTCGAAAGCATTGGCAAGGCTGTCGTCAGATCTATCACTCCTGGCCATTCCTCTGATGAACCTGCGGTTGGGCAGGTTGGTATTAAACCTCCACCTATGGTACGCTTGCCATCTCAATTAGAGATGGAAGTCCATGATTTTACTCGGGAGGAACTCGCAGAGAAGAGATGCTATCTTCTGAACGATAATGGCCAGGTGGATTGGTTTCTTTCTTCTGGTGGTGGACCACTCGAAATCCAGTACATCAACATGCTCAGTGCGCACAGCAGTTACTGGCTCAGTCCAGATTTCGTTCGGATGATTGTCACGGAGTGTGGAAGAACGCCTGGCAAAGATCATACTCTTCCAAACATGAGAGTTGTGAAGGTTGGTCACAAGTCATGAATGGAAGGAGGTTGTGATTCTTAGGCTTTGACGGTGTTTTGGTGAGCTCGATGATACCGATCTTACGGAATGACTGAGTATGGCTTGGAAAGGGAAGGAAAGGAAAGGAGAATGGAAATTGTAGATTGAGCGAGGAGTTGGAGTGTTTTTAGAGCTGGCTGGCGCAAGGTGTCCAAGATTGAGAACCCATGATACCCATCCCTATAAAATGTACATTATCCATTGCGCCTAGAATCATAATAGAAATACCCATCATCCAAAATATCTCATTCCATCTGAACCTTTGTGAATCTCTCAGGTTTGCAAATAGCATCGTTAGTTTGTACTAGCGGAAGTTTGCTTCCAAGTGGGCTACTTGTTTCCGCTTGTTTTGCCGAGGCATTATTTCCCGGCATGAGGGGATGAATGGGTGACCTGTGCTGACGACATTCATCAATCCACTTTCCAAATTGAACTTATCTTTCTTTGTTCCAACATTAATCATTAAACAGACTCAATCTTGCAAACTACAAGATTACGAACTTGAACAGAGTGTTTATTGAGATTCCTTTTCTATGCTAGGGTGTGAGAATGGGCACGAGCGGCAGGAAGTTGACGCTTTATGTGGATGTTGTTAGTCCATTTGCTTATGAGGCGTATTGGCTTTTGAGGGTGAGTTGAAATTTTGTTTGTTAGTTTTGGTTTGATTTTGAATTTGAGGTGTTTGAATTGGGGGGTGGTATGAATGAGGGGGGAGGGGGCGAGGAGAGGACAAGGTAGGTTGGGCCGGGATGGACTGGAGGTCAGGCGGTGGTACTAAGAGGAGTGGCGGCGGTGGTTTTCTTTTCTTGCTTGGGGTTCTTGGATCGGACTCAGGTTTGTATTTTGTCTCATATGGAAGATATGGAGGAGTCGGGGGTGTGGAATTGGTTTGGGATCTTTTAAGATTCCTGACTAGGTTTCGCTTTACCTTTTGCTTCTTTCTACAAGATTTGGGAGTGAAGAAAGGAAAGCAAGAACAGCTCTAATGATGACTGGTGTGGAATGACCCTATCTTCAAAGACGTGGAAATAACCTATATCCCCATCTTCCTCAGTGGCCTGATGAAAGCTTGTGGGAATACAGCACCAATCAATATCAAAAGTACGTATTAATATTCCACCCTTTCCCCTTCCCAAACCACCCCATTCAACCTCCCTTCTACACCCTCCTCTTTCTCAGACCCCACAAAAACATAAACAAAAACACACCATCTAAGATAATGAACAGACAAAGACAAATGGATCAACCAAACTCGAAACCGCTGGTCGGAACTCTTCAGCATCCCCATGCTCCACGACTCACCCGCCGGGTTTCCACCTAACACTCTTATGATCATGAGGGCGCTGGCTGCGCTTACCGTGTTGAAACCCGGGAAGGAGGGACAGGAGTTACTTGTGAGGGTTCTGGATGTGCTTTTTTCGGCTTATTGGGTGGAGGGAAAGGCGACGGCTGAGAAGGAGGTGTTTAGTGCTATTTTGGGAGGGGTTTTGGGGGAGGAGATTTGGGGTTTGGGTTTGTACTTTTCGAGGAAAATGAGGAGAGAAGGGCTTGGTATCTAGGTACTTTAACTTTTTGGGGGTATGCTGACCTGTGTGTAGTGTTGAATATGCTACCTAAAGAAGGGAAAGAAACCCTGTTGAGGAATGCTGATGCGGCGTTTAAGGATGGGGCGTTTGGATTGCCTTGGTTTGTGGTTGTTAATGAGAAGGGCGAGAGGGATACGTTCTGGGGGGTGGATCATCTTGGGTTGGTGGTGAGGCATTTGGGGTTGGAGAGGCCAGGGAGTGGAGGGTGGAAGGCTTTTGTTGTGAGGTTTTTGGGGGAGGGAGTTTGATAGGTTTGATGGGTGGGGGGAGAGAGGCTTTTTGGAAGAGCGGTAACCTTGGGATGAGGGGGTTGGTTTGGGGGAATTGGATGGGTGGTTATGAACAGCGTACGAAAGAATTACTCAACTGCTCGAGTACTTGGTGAGTAGAGTAGNAGAGAGGCTTTTTGGAAGAGCGGTAACCTTGGGATGAGGGGGTTGGTTTGGGGGAATTGGATGGGTGGTTATGAACAGCGTACGAAAGAATTACTCAACTGCTCGAGTACTTGGTGAGTAGAGTAGAGTAGAGTAGAGTAGAGTAGAGTAGAGTAGAGTAGGTGTCACTACTCTACTCTACTCTACTCTACTCATTTCATACGCTGGTTATGAAGCTTCAGTTATTGCTCCTGCTATATTTGATACTATTTGTAAGTAGGTCTACAGGTGGATCAAAGTGAAGGGTGGAATGCGTCAATATAAGTGGACGAAGTGAAGCTGTCGATAATAAGAGAGTCTGTCGAAGGTGAAAAAAATGACTTAATTATTCTAGGTGTAGAGGAATGCAGAGCATATATAGACAGGAGCGATATTTCCTAATTTAGCTAGTACGAGAGTACAAGCGAGTGCGGGATAGGATACGAGCTAATTACTGACATATAGTACTAATTTAGGCTGTAAATGCTTTAATATAGTGCTAATATATCGAACAAATGTCGTATTATATTAGTGTAATTTCGTAATTCCAATATTAATTTAGTTATATAAGCGAGACTAAATTATCGTATAAATAGGCTGAAATAACTACTGAAATACGAACGATAAATAAATAAGCTTACGTATTAGTTATTTCCGACACTCCCCCTTAATACGCGCTTACTAATATTTATAATCTTTAAAGATATATAAATATATAACGAGTATAACTATATAAAAGTATAAGCGAGATAAAGTAAACAAAAATAAAAACAAAGTAAACAAGCGTATATATTAAGCTTTTAAGCTAAGATATACAATTAATTAAGTGAAAAGTTTATAAATTTAACCTTTACTAGTACCTTAGTAAAGCTATCGGCTTTATTATCTAAAGACCCTATTTACTTAACGTTTATAATACCCTTATACATACTAGATCCAACGACACCTTTTTTCGTAGATTGAATTTTTTGTTCCAAAACGCTCAATGTCTCTTACTCTCCCCTAATAAGCTGAATTCCTTCCATGGAGACTCCTCTAAGGAGGCCTCCGGCCACGCCTACGCCCCTAGGAAGGGGTATAGGGAAAGGGGGGGTACGCCCAATTCCTCCCCTCCCCAACATACAACAACAATTTGTCTCTGGGACCACTGAAGCTCTAGAACGTGGTGCTATAGGCCAAATCTTCTTTGGAGGCACCGCAGAAGCTGTAGACCACCACCTAAGTACTGCTCTTGATAGAGCACCTCCGGGCCTCTTGCCCTACCTCAGGGCCTTTTGTACACAGGTGGCCGACCTTAGCCTAGCCTTTCACCGAACATACACCTCAGGGG